TAATAAAATAAAATAATAATGATTAACATCAATATTGATTCAATGCGCGAAAGATTATGTAATGACAGAAAATCCACAGGGTTTTTACGATTTTGCCTCGATTCTTAACAGGAAAGTAAAGGCAATGAGTTTTTACATTAAATCATAATGATGAAGAATGATTTTAGAAAGTGAGAGTGAGAGAAAGAGAGAATTTTTGATTTATTAAGCCCGAATTAGAACCGGAAAAATGGGGGGAAAATGTACTAGTGGTACATAAACAAAGGAACATATAGGAAGTAGGTCCAACAGGCTGGATATAAAAAAGCGCCTCAAATTATTTTCAATAATATATAATATAAGCATTAGACAATTTTATAAAGTTATAGGACAGTTTGATAGATAAATGTAAGTTTTCTATGTAAAACGTTTTGATTGCTTGATGCCTCTTTGAAAAAAAAAATGTAATAGTCTCGTGAATTAGGGCTGTGATCAGAAAACAAACAATGCTTTTATAGTAACGCTAAGTTTTCGACGATACATCGTCTTCTTCATGATCTACAGAGAACAACCGGAAAAAAAGAACATAATAAACGGCTAAACATCATTAGATAGACCAATAGACCAATATTAATACCAAGTTAAATCATAATGATGAAGAATGATTTTAAGGAGTAAGAGACAGAAACACTAATAACATGGAACAAAGAGGGCATCGGTGGCCTCAACGGTTTAGGCGTTGACACGGCGCTCATCACTGTAAGGTAAAGGTCCAGGGTTCGAATCTAGCGGCCCTGCATTCCAACCTGACATACTTATGGGCTTTTTCAAAAACACCGGCACCCCGAGGGTTGATATAACCTCTGCTGTTGCGAACCCTCGTAAAAAAAAAAATAAATAAATAAATAAAATAAAAAATAAAAATCAACCTAAATAATAGTAATTAACGACTAAAAAAAAAAAGCAATTACCGGAAAATTAATTAAGTTTCTATTCATATATATGTCGGAAGATCTTATAATAATCTTAAAATATGATGAATTAAAGTATGACAAAGGAAAAGCAACTGTTCTTCCATTTAAAGTTAAGAATTTTATGTTCTTAAAAAAAAAAAAATAATAATAAGGTCAGGAATCGATTGATGTTTCGCCATAGTACAGAACATGCAGAAAGTTGATGATGTGATTTTGGAGTTTGAGTTTGTTGAGTTTTTGTGTGAGATGATAGCATGTGGGTTGATCATAGATGGTAAGAGTGGAGGAGACAGAGATCTATCTATGCTGGCTGGAGGAGGACCGTTTCATGATTTTTCTTCTTTATTACCCATTACGGTGCTTAAGTTTTTCGTTTTGCGAATGGCCTGCATTTTTAGGATTATTTCTAATCCAGTATATTTCGTGGTCCGATTGACCAAATAACTTCTTTCAATTAATTAATCTTTATGTAAGGTATTGGTTGAAATGAAAAAGCCAGGGTCATGAGCAAGATTCGAACCCACGACCTTCCGCTAATTACGCCGCTGCTCTACCACTTGAGATATCGTGACCTCGATCCACTCTGACACCAATTTCCCATCTCAACCGCACCTTTTTGAATTTTCCCTCCTTTTTGCCATTTTTCGAGGTCACGATATCTCAAGTGGTAGAGCAGCGGCGTATCTAGCCGAAGATCGTGGGTTCGAATCCCGCTCGTGACATTGACTTTTTTATCTCTACTAAAAACTTTAATTAATTGTAATATATCAATTGGTCAAGCGGACCACGAAATAAGTGAATTTAATTATTTCTAATGTTGTGCGGGCACCTGCCTGAGTACTCTTAATAATTGTTGTTGTTTTTGCAGATTACATCGGTGTTAGGAGAAGACTATTTTCTAATTAAATTCACTAGTTTTCGAGGTCCGCTTGACCAATTAATATCTTTCAATTAATTGAGGTTTTTAATTAAGATAAAAACCTTAATTAATTGAAATTATTTTCTAAGAAGAATGAGTTGACACATTGAAGAAGAGTAAGTTATTTTAAAAGATTTGTTAAATAGAAAAACGATATTTTATTAATTTTTATTGTAATATTTAGTTTATTTTATAATTCTCACAGGGTTCCGTAATTATTTGGTCATTTAAAAACTTTTTAAGAAAAAACATGGATATTTCAAATGCTATTAATGGATTCTAGGACGAATCCACTCAGAATGACCGTGTTGAGAGAAGACCGTTTCTTTATATAGCTAATTAGTTGTGTAACTAATTAATAATTAATTGTGTAAACATTACTGCATTATTATTACATCTGTATATATTATATTATTGTATTAACTGTATTGAACCACAATAATGAGGATGTGTAAAGGTCTTAGTAACACATTTTGTGTGTAAAATGAAAAATAGTAAAGGAGAAGGAAACCCCAGTACAGCAATTTGTAAAAACATTTTCTTTATCGTGCCAACGTTTCGATCTTTATTGAGATCATCTTCAGGGCGTGCCTTCAGTGTGCCCTCTCATCACGAAAGACAAGAATGACACATCTACACGAAAAACAAACACTTTGAGCCCTGAAGATGATCTCAATAAAGATCGAAACGTTGGCACGATAAAGAAAATGATTTTTCTGAAACCTACGTCACACCAGACCACATCTCACCATCTCCGAATAATAATTAACTAACGGTCACTAAACCTACCACATAGTATGTTAAGGGTAACTAGTCACCAACCAGTGATTGGTAGTATGTACGTGTATGGAATGTGAGTCAAAGTTAGGGGACATTTGACAGTTGGTCCTGGAGACGAGTGGGCTAGACTTCGTTAGATTTTTATGGAATGAGCGTGCTTTGGAGGAGTATAAGGCTTAGATCCTAGCTTTTGGATTTTAATTAATAAACGTTGTTGTATGTGAAGATCTGGACAGATTCTTTGACAACGTTTATATACGTAATCACAATTTAAGAACTTTTACACACGCTAAATAACAAAAAAACTCCTTCTTCACTCTTTTAACAGAAACGTGGGGTGGTTAAATGGCTTTTGATGTTTAATTAAATTCTGTTGTTTATTAGTTAATGAAAACCCTTTTTTTATTAATATGTTTTGCAAGCCCCTTCACCGTTATTGATCCCATGGTACCTGGGGCCTTTTACTGATTTTGACAACCAAAGGCATAAATTACGAAAATCAGGCCAAGTTTCGCACAGTTTCGTCGATCGTTTAGCGAAATGTACGTAGAAAGAGCTTACGTACGGAAGGAGATGCTTCTATTCTATCTCCCCCAAAAGGCACTTTTAACATGAAATACTGCCTTGAACGATGCCCCAATAATTAAACTAGGTTGAGCCCTTAAGGCGTAAATTTTACTTTATAGAAATTAAAAATGAACAGGATGAACCTTTCCTCTTAAATCTCTCTAAACGTCTCTCCCTATGAAATGTAAGGTCATTTTCTATAAGCAATGATCATTGACAAGTTTTCAGTAAAATTCGAATACAATGGTTACAGTGTTCTTTTTACAATTTTTATTAATTTTTTAATTTTTGTAAATAAATTTATTTTACATTATTATTTATTTAAACATGAATTGTACTTTCTAATGAATTTACTTGTTTAAAAAAGTACAGGGAATTGGTTTTTTAACCAAAACCAAAAAATGAAGCTGAAGTTATCGACCTGCAGCACTTAATGTTACTAGTTGGATCTTCTTTATTTGACCTCCAACTCGTAACAAAACCAAAAATGATAAATTAGTCTCAAAAATCCCCATGATCTAAAAAACATACCTCACAAAAAATATAATACAATTTTTTTTAAAAATCCGGCTGTTTGTTAGAGAATATAAGACAAGACCAATAGTAGAGCTAATTGAACTAATATTGATTTTCATAAATGCCACAGATTATTTTTTCTATCGGAAAGGAATCTTTATAAATACTTCAAAAGAGTCAATGGAGCAGCGAGAGAGAGTGGTTAGGATGTTGTGTGTTCGAATCCCGGAATAGCCCATGGCTTTTCCATAGATAATGGTTGAAAAATTTAATGTAAACTGGTTTGACTTCTCATCCGTGCCACCTAACGCGGGTAGTTGGACTAGTTGGCCCGCCTGTAATACAGGAATTACATTAAGTTTACTTTACATCAAAATAATGCAAAATATAAAGTTGTTAAGAAAATAATAGTCATTTCTATTTACGTTTTAGTGGTCAATTGACCCAGTTACTTCATTCAATTAATTATTTTTTCTATGTAAGGTCTTGTTTGAGATAAAATAGTCAGTGTCACGAGCGGGATTCGAACCCACGACCTTCGGCTAAATACGCCGGCCGCTGCTCTATCACTTGAGCTATCGTGAATTCGATCCCCTCGGGCACTAACTCAATCTACCTTTCGAAGGGAAATGCTTAAGTTAGGTATGGAGGCGTCGGTGGCCGCAACGGTTTAGGCGTTGACACGGCACTCATCACTGTAAGGTAAAGGTGGTAAGGTAAATCTAGCGGCCCTCCATTCGAACCTGAAATACTTACAAATGGTATTTAGCCGAAGGACGTGGGTTCGAATCCCGCTATCGACACTTTTTAATCTCAACCAAGAACTTATATAGAAAGAATAACCCTTTTTGGCAAAACATCAATGCATTTGGGCTCGGTCGTACAACCATTATCTAAGAAAAAAATGTGTTCCGATGAATGATAATTTTATGCAAAAATTGTGAACACTGAGGAATTGAAAGCCGGAATTCAAGAGAAGCATTTTGACCGGATGTAATAAAATGGTGAGAAAGACGGCAGGAAGTTATCAATAAATTCAGACATAACGTGATCTAAAAATATCAGAATAAAGATAGTAAACTGAAATGTCCAGTAACCAGTTCAGTTAAATCTTTGCGAGGTTTACTATCTATTTATCCATCCTATCTTAAACTTTATAGTAAACATTTATCAGGAGGTCATCTCATTATTTGGGGGGGGGGGATAAGGAAAACATTTGTCTGACACAGGTCAGATTTATCGTACAAACAAGGGTTGTCTCTTACCTTGTTGCTTGTCGCCTAATTGTATTGTCTTCCATGATTAATGCAAAGGGCGGTGTGACCACGCGCCCCTTTCCTCTCGCTTCAACCTAAAACAATAAACATACAAACTTAAACAACTTGATACAGTGTATAAACGCCGTCGGAAAGCACTCCACAATAATTACAAAACAAATAATTTAGAAAAAATATTTTAAAATATATGGCTAAAACTTTCGAATTTATTATAACTTACAGTACCTACTGGTTTAACTTCATTTGCAAAGCAGATGAAAAATTTAAAAGTTCGATGGGTTCATTATACCAAGACAGACCCAATTGTTAATCAATTCCAAGAAAACTTAAAAATTATTATTATAAAACGGTCTTTAATTATAATATTCAAACCTCGCTTTTTCCTTGGAATCCGGACACTTATAAGCTCTTCGTTAAGTGCTCAGATTGTAATGCATAATTCAAGATTCGTGCACCACCGATTTAGCAAAAAAATTTAGGCAGGAAAGGCATAACTTAAAACAGTAGTGATCTTCTGAATGCTACAGAAAAACGTTTTTGGGATTTTAAAACTCTGAAAAGACTTTCAATTATAACAGTTGGTAAGAAAAACGCTTTTACATGATTCAACCAACGTTAAAAGTGTTTACAATGCATTTTATTGAAAAAATTTCAATTTTAAAATTAAACCAGTAAGTAAAACCAATAAAACCAATATGATCAAATCAAAAACCGGATGAAAATAATTATACCTTTACAAATGTTTGAAAAATTGGTTATTAATCCTTAATATAAAAAAAAAGTTTAAAATTTGCTGAATGAATCTTCTAAGCAATGAACTCTATTCCTACGCAAACGGATATTTCGCCTTTTAAATTTTGTTTATTCGATGAGTATGAATATTTATTTTAATACAAAAGAAAAGATTGATTCCGTAGACCGAGTTCTTTTTTCTATAAACTTTACAATCTTTGCCTTAAGTCACAATTTGTAGCAGCACTAGAAATCAATACCTCAAAAGCCTGCATATGGTGTCCTAAAGGAAAATCAGTGTTTTCCAACATAAAATCGGCGGTATTCGACCAGGTTGTTTGCTGGGCCCTCTCTTGTTCTCTTTATACATAAATGATCTCATTGATGCACTGGATAACGGGGTACAGATCGATGGCGTTGTGGTCAAAATTTTACTCTATGCAGATGACTTTGTCATACTTTCAGAAAGCCCAGAAGATGATAAAATCAACATTGATAAGTTGGTACCATACTGCGACCTTTGGGGGGTTTAAAGTCAACTTAGAAAAATCAAATTGGTAATTCGGAATGGAGGTAGACATCGTGCACGTTGTACATATCAAAACAATAGTATCACTGTTATCAACGAGTACGAGTATTTGGTGGTCACTCTCACTTCTAAGTTATCCTTTAAAAAACGTATTAAAGAAAAAGGCAGCACCTCTAAATTTGCAATTAACACCATCTGGAATCGGGCAATTACACACACACCTTTCAATCACCTTAATTGGCAAACTAGAGGTATTAACTGTAGCAGTTCTTCGCTACGCTTTACAAGTTTAGGGACTTCAATATTTACAGGATGTGGAAAGGGTTCAATTTTTTTTGTTCATAAATGTTTACTCTTCCTTGTTTCTCTCCAACCTATATTATTTTAAGTTGGATCCAATATTTCTTTATAATCTCAGAACTCGCTTTAAATGTATAGTTCGAATATTAAGTTTAGAATGGAAAAAAAGGGATATTTTGGGCTTCAACGTGGAATCTCTAGTATAAAAAAAATATTGTTAACGCTATCCTATGACTCTAGTTTCTATTTTTGTGATCCCAAAAAAGCGAAAGTTAGTCTTGATTCCTTGTCAGAAGCTTAACAGGATTTCTTAAAGATTCCAGGGTTGTGAATTCTCATTATACGCTGTACAAAGACTCAACCCAAATGTGAAGTTGGTAGGTAAAGATTGGTGGGTAAAAATAAGGAAAGTTTAAAAACAACTTCTAATAGGTGGTTAGTAAAGCTAAGGGGAGAAGTACTAATCCTGAACTTCGAACCCTACAAGGTTTCAGATCGGGAAGATTGTTCTCTGTTTGAAAGAATTTTCTCTTCGTTGCGATTCCGAAAACAGAACGTTATTCTTCGGACGCAGTGTGTTGTCAAGACAAGACTATATAAATTTGCTGGATGGATCAAATTGGTGAGCACTGACGGAGTACACCGGAGCAGCTTGGATTTACAGAAAAAATCTGGACCATGAATTTTATTTTTTAGGAAAAAGGATATATTTTTACTTCTTTTCATTCAATCATCAATGTAGACCACACTTCATTTAATTGCCTTTGGAGATTTTTCTTTAAATTTTTTTGTCTATCATTTATTATGTATCTGTATGTTTTTATGCCTAATTATATATGATTATAAATATTATGTATTCATGAATGCATTTGCTAAGAACATCTTCCGGCAGATGAAATTTCCTTGCCGTATCGATTATTTATGTATTTCTTCTTATTTCATCTCGTAAAAGTAATGTAATATTCAAAAGCTTTATTATTATTATTCATGAACACTCTGGTTCAATGTATGTTCTTGAAAAAGAAAGTAAATTCAGTTGTTTGTTACTGGCATGCTTTCGACCAATTTTAAGGCCATCATCAGGGCAAAACAAACCAAAATACGACATACTGACATATTTAAGTTTTTTACAGGCCATCTCAAATTTCCTTAAAGACCGACTCATTCCCAACATTGCCAAGGACCGTGATTATTACTATTATTACTAAATTACTATTATTGCTATTATTGTTATACGAACACTCTGGATCAAGGTATGGTCTTGAAGAAGAAAGCAAATTTAGTTGCTACTGCCTAGCTTTCGATCTATTTTAAGGTCATCATCAGGTCCTATATTAATTTCACATTACGAAAACATATTTGTACAATTTATTTAACAATGAATATAACTGTATAGAAACACAAACCACCTTAAATATGTCTACAGGCGATCTCAAATTTCAGTCTCTCATTGCGAAGGATTGTAACATTATTGAACCCTTACTAAATTATTATTATTACTATAAACAGAAAGGTTTAGGAATTTTTCCGCAAGAATTCTTGTCCTACGCATATGACACTAATATTGGCGCAAAATAAAACTTCTGATTAATTTATTTTTGATTATCTTAGCAAAAGTAAAAATGTCTACTTTAAATTTTGCAGAAACTATCGTTTAGAGAGAGAGAGGGAGGGAGGGAGAGAGAGAGAGAGAGAGAGAGAGAGAGAGAGAGAGAGAGAGAGATCTTATCCAAATTGCAAAAGGTTTCCATTTTCCTTCCATATTCCAATTTCCTCATAATAATCTTGTAAGAAAATGATCGTCATTTTACCACAAATAGAAATTTGAACTCTTGAATTTTGTTACACAGAATTCCTAACAATCGATAATTATATCAGAACAAAAACATATTTTTGTTGCATCGGATAAATCAATCGTCATTTTAAGTAAAAAGGAAATAAGTTATTTCCAATTTTGACATATGAATATAATTTTATAAGAAATGGGACACATCCCAGAAATTGACATTTTCAATTTGAAGTTTTGTAACATAAACGATACAAAATTGACTCAAAGGTAGTTCCTAATTTGGCCTTATGAAAAATAGAAAAGTATCAGATCCAAGTATACATTATTGTTTTAAGGCAAATCTACACTCACTAAAATCTGCGAAACTTTTAAGCCAGAATTATTGTCGATTTATATCGATTATCGATTATACGTCGTTTGCCGTTGTGGCCATAATTAAAAAGCTGAGCAAATAACATTCAACCGGGGAGAATATCTTCTTCAAAATACCTCAGGGTTGTTTTTTCTGGATAAATAACTTTTTCACTCCAAGTATGCAACAGTATTAATCAATAAAATAGAACAATTTGAGTGAAAACTAATGTACATAACAAACAGGTCATTAAAGTTTGTTGAAAAATCATTATAATTTTCAAATTAACTCCATTATACTATAAATTACTTCTTTCAATTAATTAATCTTTTGTATAAGGTTTTGGTTAAAATTAAAAAGTTAGTGTCACGAGCGGGACGTAGAATTTTTTGATTAACATGAAAACTTTATTATCATGTAAACATACAACATAGCACTAAAAATTAGTTTTTAAATAGCATGTACAATATAAGCTCTTGATTAAAATAATAACGGGCCAAGCATGTGGACATTGACGATAGCCTATCCCGAACGCCGTTTACTGCCGACTACGGACGACTTCGTCATTATATGCTTTTTATTTAGCCCCAATTCTATCAACAACGTTAACAGATTAAAAACAAAATGATTATTTTTTTATTTAAAAATAACAGTGCAAATCTGGAGAAATATTTTACTTGTTAACGATTTTGGGTCATTTCCAGTTTATTCAGCTTGTTGATGACCAATTTCGCATAATATCGGCACTTTTAATTATGATATTAAAGATATATCAGCATGGGAAAATATGGGATCAACAAATCTTAGGTTTTAAATCCCCAAGTCGAATTGATTGTTAGAAAATGGTTCACGATTGCCCTAAAATGGAAGTAAAAAACTGTTGTTTATAGGGTTTATCAACGCTCAATTTCACTCTTTTCGTCAAACGTTTCCAAACATAAGCAAACTGTATGCATTTGGCCAACTTCCAAACTGGAGCTTTTTTCGAACCAAAAACCCATGGGAGAAACAGAACTATTTTAGAGAATAGAGTTACAATAATCATTTTACGGTGAGTTTAAAATTTTTACATTTCAACTTCTAATATCTAGGTTTTTTCCAATTAATTTAAAACTTACAATACAATACAAATTGACCGTTGATAATGTAATTGAAAGTCATAAAAAATCGTAACATCTTTATAATGTAAGTCAGCAGCAATAAAAGCAATTGTTTTATAGTATACAAGACGTTGTAAACTAATATTTATTTTATCAGTTTTTTGTAAAACTTAAATTAATATTTATAGTAATTCTACAAGGAATTAACGATGTTCGAACCAAGTCGATTTTATTACTTGGATTGGATCAAAGACATCAGATAAAAATTTTCG